TTAATTATACACTTAATAAACATATTTGTATTGCAATTTCTTTTTACTAAGCATCATCGTAGTCATCCGCTCATTGGGTTGTCATAAGGCCATTAAGGAGGTAGGATGTGATCTATTGTCAGTTTTTTTATAGTGAATTCAATGGCAAAGCCACAGTCTCACTGGGTCATTTGTCCAACATCGATGATGGTCTATGGGTCCAACCACAGGCTCTGCCTGTACCACACAGCATTTCTTTTTCTTTTTTTTTTTTTAATAATAAATTTTATTTTTATATTCCCCATACAATTGCAACCCCCTTATTTTGACCCCAACCCCTCCCCTCCCTGCCCCCCACCTCCCATAGAGTGTCTCTGGTCATAGTTGTTTGTTGATTTTGATTTTCACTTTCTTATAGTTATTCTTTTTCCTGGTCCCTTATTTAAGTTTTCTAGATTCCTGCTATGAGTGAGACCATCTAGTATTTTTCTTTTTCTTTCTGGCTTATTTCGCTGAGCATGATCCCTTCTAGCTCCATCTATGTTGCTGCAAATTGCAAGTGTTTATCTTTTTTGAATGCTGAGTAATATTCCATGGTGTATATGGACCACATCTTCTTGATCCAGTCATCTATTTTTGGGCATTTGGGTTGTTTCCAAAGCTTAGCTATTGTAAACAGTGCTGCTATAAACATAGGGGTGCAGGTGCTCTTTGGAATTGATGTTTCTGACCACACAGCATTTCTAAGGATGCTGAGGGATGGGATACGTATTCATGTAAGCAGTGGGCATGCAGCATCACTCATCACACAGCTCCTGCTCTTTTGGGATACATGAGACAGAATTTATAGGGCCTCTTCTTCTTTTCTATTAACTCTTTTTGTTCCATCTACTCTACTCGTTCCTCAAATCAACTAGGTGCCACATTGAGGCAACAGAAGAGGACAATTAAAATACTTATCACAGGGCCTCCCTGGTGGCACAAGGGGTTAAGCACCACACTATGAAGCAATCCACAGCCTCTGCAGCATGAGTTCGATCCCAGGCCTGCCAAGGAGCAACCCACATGGTGAAGCAGAACTCTCCTGTCTCACCTGCTGCTCCCCTCAGCAGTATATTTTAGTCAATCTGCCTGTTCTGCTCCCAGCTCTGTCTCTGGTGAATCCTGTCAACCCCCACATCTCTGGTCTGTGCCCCAGCTCTTGTATGCAGAGATAAATAAATCTTTTAAAAAAATAAAATACTTACTACATACTTATTGCCAATCTAGCTTCCCCACTGTACAAAATTTTTAAAGGTGTTAGTATGTAGAATAGCCTAAAATAGAATAGTAAATTCTTTTAATTTATAAAAATGAAAAGACATTTTTATGTGACCGAGTTATAATTTTTAAAAGCTAAATGTTACTTTTCTGGGGATGGGATTTTTTTTTCATTTGTATTCATCATTAAGCTATTTTTATTCTGCTCTGAAATGCTGTTTTGTTATAAGTCCAGTTCTTTTATACTTTCATCCACAGGGAAGTCATAATCCCCTACTTAAATAGAAGCCAGTTACCATGGAAATCATTCTAATGCCACTGAATCAATATTTTGATTTTGCTGACATTTAATGTAAAAAGACAGACTAAGATTTATAAAAGTCACTTTTCATCTTTGTTATAATTTTGATAGCTAGAAAAATTATAAAGAAAACATATGTTCCATAATGAACTCCAGTTAGCTCATGATTATAAAGAACTAAGAATTCATAAAAGAGCAATCTCTATATTTATATAAGTTTGGCTTTGAGAACAAGCATGTGTTTGGACTCAAGATTTATTTCCCCAGCTCTGAACTCCTCATCCCCTGATTCTCTCGTCACTATTGAAATCATAACTTGATAGAAGAGATTTGAATATATTCTGTCTTGTAATTGTGTTTGCACAAAATGTTCTGAGCAAAAGGTGAAATTTGCATTAAGAACCACTCTTCTCTAGAAGGTGACCATTTCTGCACCAGGTCCTAATAGCTCCTCTGATTCACTTCCCATCCCACAACAGTTGAAATCCAGCCCCATCCTGTCCTTATGTCCACCTAGGAGGAGACATGTTGGGTGGACACCCTCCCTGCCCTCAAATGGACACCTTCCCTGCCTTTCTTCTCTACCAACCTCTAAGAAATGGATGAAAGAGCTGCTGTCTTCTGTTAGATAACTAGTCATTTGGAACCTTAGACCTTTACTAGTGAAGGTATCTCAAAGAGAATTATGAGCTCCTGCCTCAGAAATTAGCTAGCTCAAGCATCCCAAATGAATGGTAATCCCTTCGACTTTTTAGGGCAAATTGGCAACTGAAATGTTGCTTCTATTGAACAACATCAGATAGCTCCCATATTAATACCAGTGCCCAGTACCCCAGGTCACTTCACTGTGGGCATTTTGCGAATTTCCTGGAAAGTCTGCTGAGTCATGACAGTGCTTGATGATCCTGATTGGCTGCTTTTTTCCCTTTGGTTCTCTTCTTCCCTTCAGCTGGCTTTGTATTTCCTTTTATTATGGAATTATTCTAGATCACATTCCAGCTCTCATCATTCAGAAGTCTCTGTTCTAATTCAGTAAGCTTCTGGGCCTCCCTGGTGGCACAAGGGGTTAAGATACAACCTACAAAGCTGTCTGCTGCCACTGCAGCACAAATTCCATCCCTGGCCAAAGAGCTACACACATGGCACAGCAGACCTTTCCTGACCCACCCACTACTCCCCTCCGCAGTGTATTTCAGTCACTCTGCCTGTTCTGTTTGCCACTCTGTCTCTGGTGAATCCTCTCACCCCCCCATCTCTGGCCTGTACCCCGGTTCTTGTATGCATGAATAAATAAATCTTTAAAAAAATAAAATAAAATAAATCAGCAAGCTTCTTTTACGTAGGATCTAAAGTATTTGATTATGAAGTTTGACCATCCCAGATCTAATGTATTTGATTATGCAATTTCTTGGAAATAAATGTAGGAGGGGGTGACTCCTGAAAACAAGGCCACAGAAAGTGAAAATAATGGAAGGCTCCACACAGCAATAGCAAAGGAAAACTTAGAGCATTTAAATTCTGCAAAAGGCTGGTCTCTAGGGCCCTTCAGTATACTAGCAAGTAAACAAAACATTTTACTTCTACACGCATCCATGTCTTAAAAGTCGAAGGACATACTGACAACCTTGACTCATGAGATAAAAGCATGAAATTCCCAGTCTACTTTCAGGCAGCAGAACAACAGTTACACAGACAGACACATCTACATGTGCGTGTGCTATACTCATCACACCAAGACAACTGGAGTCAACTGAAGTGTTAACAAACAGTAAATAAATTGCTTTGATGCATACTTTCTCTTTAAAAATGCAATTTCTTGGGCCGCCCTTGTGATGCAAGGGTTAAAGTCTCAGTGCTATCACTGCTGATGGCCTGAGTTCAATCCCCGGCCAGAGAGCTGACCCATATCGCGCAACAGACCTCTCCTGTCTCGCCCGCTGCTCCCCTCAGCAGTGTATTTCGGTAGATCTGCCTGTTCTGCTCCCCACTCTGTCTCTGGTGAACCCTCTCACCCCCATACCTTTGGCCTGTACCCCAGCTCTTATATGCATAAATAAATAAAAATAAACCTTTGAGAAAAAATGTTATTTCTTAACAATCTGAATGCCATGGAAAATACAAAGCACAAAACTCCACACTGTGACTTCAGTTTTTTGACTCTGCATAAACATACCTGTAATTCACATCTGTTGCTCCCACACATGTGCACACTCAATGTACGTTTCTGCACAAGGAGATTTTCCTTGGAAAATGGGGGGAGTAGATCCAGCCCCAGACATTTATTTATGTTCTGCAGCATGCACGAAGCGGAAGCGGTTGTGCTACTGGGCTAGTGGTGCTTGGCACAAGGTGAAAGGATGGCCAGGAAGGGAGATTAGAGAACGGGACATGCCATGGGCCCCTCCCAGACCATCTCATGAGATTTCATGGAAAGACTGGGCCAGGGACAAGAGCGGTTTCCTGGGACTGAGAGGAGGATGGGCCCAGGTAACAAAGAATTCTGCCACCCGGGACCCCCTGGCTTCCGCTCTCTGCATGGAGCTTGGTGCATCAGGGTTCAGGGAATCCTGCAGCAAAGATCAGGGAAGGGTAGGCGAATAAGATTAGGCTGGAGTGCCGTGTGTCCATACTGGCAGCGGCAGCACTGAGAACCTTAAAGATCTTCCGCACCTAATACAAAATTCCCAATGGACTTGTATCAAAGTATATGAATCTACTCTCCCCAGCAACTCTCAAGAAAAATTCAGGACAGCTGACACCTGCTTATCAGCTAAGGGGTAAGGAGCTAGTAAGCGCTGACATAACATATTCATAGAGGAGCAAGGAGACCAAGATACATTTGATCTGTGTGTTCATTCCATAGGCGAGGGAAAACATAAGTGCAGGCAGAAATTAGAGAGAGATGGAAGGAGAAAATAAAATCTATACACATGCAGGTGTCTATGGTGTACGCTACAAATGTGCACCCATTATGTGTAAATTCAAATTCACTGATAGGAAGTCCACCAAAATGTAAAAAAGAATTCTTTCTAAAAGGTGATTATATACTTTTCTTTTTTCTTTCTTTTTTTTTTGTATTTTCCTGCATAATAAAGTTCCCTGATAATCACACAATACTTCTAGAATTATACAGTAATACTAATAAAACCAAGAAATTTTCAATTTTAGGTATATGGCTAGGCCAAATAATTTTCTAATGACTCAGAATAGCAAGGGGTTAAGAAAACTCATCGCCTTCCCTTTCTGATGATGCACATTAAATGCACCTTTCTGGGTGTCATTTGAGGACCCCAAAAATAAATACCTTGTGCCTCTTCCCCCCAACACACACCCAATTCATTTCTGGGACCTCAGGGCAACGGAGGCAGGACGATGGGCCTGGGGAGAGGTGGGTACCCATGCATGTGATGCCAGGCACCTGCTGCCCAATTTCTTTTTCAGGGTGGGGGTGGCGCCGTACCTTCCATCCGCTCGGGGGTCCTCGCGCTCTTGCTGGCCGCGGCGCTGTTGACCGTCTCCGAGGAGGTGCTCAGCTTGGTGCTGGGGTCCCGCTTGGGCTTGGGGGGCGGCTGTCTCCGGGAGCCACAGCTGCTGTCGTCATCTGCGCCCCCGACCGAGTGCAGGGACTGCGACCTCACGGAAAAGCCGCTGGAGCAAGGATGGGGAAGTCTGTCCTGAGGAGCGGGCATGGTCATGAACCCCATGCGGAAATGTTTGCCCACGTAACTTGGGTCGTGGCCTCGCCCTACGTCTCCGCCTATGCTGTAAAGGGAAAGAGAGTTGGTTGAGCCTGGCGGCAGGTGACGGGCGCGAGGCAGGTGCAGCAGGGGGGGTGCATATGTCATCTCCAGGCTGGCGCAGGGACCTTTCCACGGGTGTGCGCACACGCTAGACGGTGGCATGCCCTCTGGAAAGTTAAGCCAATGCAACTTGATCAGAATCAGAAATCCTAACACTTACTTCCAGACCTCCCAGGATCCAGTCTCTGAAAACAGCGTTCCCAAAGAAGGAAAATGCCGTGGAGCCTATTTCTTCTTCAGTCTCTTTACTTGGACGTACATTGTGTTGGGGACTTAAAAAGTAACTATAACCAAGATGAAAATGCATGCATGGTGCAAAAATGAAAAATGATGTAAACAATATATAACATTTTAAAAATAAGAATTAAAAAAATAAAAATAAAAATAAAGTAAACAGGAATTCCATGGCAACGTCTCAGAGACATCTTTTGACATGACTGACGTCAAGTGGTCAGGACCTGATTCATTCCCCATCAGCAAAACATCTACCTTTGACCTCAAATATATGTTGGGGAAAGCAAAAGAAACAGAAGTAAAAGCTGGGGCCTCCCTGGTGGCGCAAGGGGTTGAGACGCAACCTGTGAAGCTGTCCACAGCCACTGCAGCAGGAGTTTGATCCCTAGTCAGGGAGCTACCCACATGGTGCAGCAGACCTCTCCTCTCTCACCAGCTGCTCCCCTCAGCAGTGTATTTCAGTCAGTCTGCCTCTTCTGTTCTGGCCTGTACCCCCGTTCTTGTGTACATAAATAAATAAATATTAAAAAAAAAAAAAGCAAAAGCCAAAAGGAGTTCTGTTGTTACCAAATTCCAGGGTGGGGTGGGTGGGTGGAAGGACATGGATGGAGGAAGAGAGAGACAGAAGGTAGAAGGCAGGAATAAAGCATGGAGGAGAGGAGAGGTTTGTGTGTGAGAGGGGAGGAAGTAAGGATCGCTATTTGGTTCAATCTTTGAAGGAATTACCAGTTTCTGCTTTTTGTCGTTTTTTTTTTTCTTCAGAATCCTTCAGTTACCCTAGAAATTTGGTTCTGCTAGTAAGCTAGCCTCAGAAAATATTACAGGTACCCCCCATTTTGCAAAAGTTTATATTACACCATTGTACTTTTACCAAAGACCTAAGCACCTGTTTTTGTTAACCAAAAGAAATTTGAGGAGGATTTTTCACTTTTATAGTCAAAGATAAAATGCAAAAATGACATTCAGCTTTTGTTTTACAGCAGCCACAAGAGTGGACCACCAAGTTCCTCTGCCTGGAACTACCTTATACCTTAATGATGTGTAGTTTTCACATCATCCCTGCTTTTACTATATGTGAAGGTTTATTATAGGCTTTAGGTATTACTTGGAGTGATTTGGTGGGTTATTTTTTGGATCTGAGGATGTTGAAAAATTTTTACATAAATTAGTGGTTATTGCTTCTACTTTGTGTCATTTAAGTTTAGGAAAGTCTTCATAGGAACATTTTAATTTTCATTTTGGGGTGGGGAAAACCTATATAACAACAGCTAATAAATATTATCTGATCCCAGTATAGTCCTAAATACCTCATTTATATTCAAAGTATGCCAAGTTTCCATATCTAAGTCCCTAAGTTTTTTTTTTTCCCCAAGAACTTGGGATTAGCCCAGATTTTTATATTTTTAGATATTCTTTTTTAACATTTATCATTTTTTTTACATTTTTTAGACAATATTTGCTTCCTTCCACCCCCTCAGATTGAGTCCCCAAAGAATTTCCTTCCCCAAGGCACACATGCACCATCACCACAGTCCCCTGTGCTCCTCACTCCCTCCCTCTGATCCCGCTCCCTCCTCCTCCCCTGTAGGAGGTCTCTGATTTATAATTGTCTGTTTTTGCTTTGTTGTGCTTTGTATTGTTATTATTATTTTTTTACACTGATATCTTATTTGGTTCCCCTATATTCCTGTTATAAGTGAAACCATCTGATATTTTTCTTTTTCCTTCTGGCTTATTTCATTGAGCATAAATCCTTCTAGCTCCATCCACATTGCTGTGAATGGCATGAGTTTATCTTTTTTGATTGCTGAGTAATATTCCATTGTGTATATGTACCACATCTTCTTGATCCAGTCATCTGTTTTTGGGCATTTGGGTTGTTTCCAGGTTTTACCTATTGTAAATAGTGCTGCAACAAACATAGGTGTACAGGTGCTCTTTTGAATCACTGTTTTTGTGTCCTTTGGATAGATCCCTAGGAGTGAAGTTGCCGGATTGTATGGTAGCTTCATTTTTAGTAGTAAGTCCCTAAGTTTTATATAAGAAAGTTTGAATACAAATTCTAAAATATAAGAAGACTCTTGTATTTTTCTCGATGTTATTAATTATGACACTTTTATGAAGAAAAAGTACATGAATGTGAATTTTTAATTCTATTTTTTTTAATTGAGGTAACATTGGTTTATAACAGTATTTATGATTTAGGGGTAAAGGTTCACACTTTTTCACTTCCACATCATGCCCACCATGTATGAGGACTTTTTAAATGGAGGATTTTCTAGAGTTTTCCTCATTTTTAAAATTCATTCAATTACCCATTCACTTATTTTGCTCACAAAAAGAAATGTTACCAAATATTTGATTTTCTTAAACATCTATGAGTGGTGAATAGTATCTTTAAGTGCATGAATTTTTGAAACATGTTGAGTAAATCTTTTCAGATACACATTTATTTAGACCATTTTCTTAATTTCAGCTGGTTCTGTCTTCCATCATACAATGGATTTCAAGGTGAGGTTTTGCAATTGTCTTTATTGTGTCTTTCATATCATTACCATGTTTGTTAAAAGTTCGACATTTCAGCAGGAACAATAATAGGAAATGAAATTTTTTACTGTATTCAGCTGGGAATCTAAGGCAATTATATGACCATTGTGTATCAAGTCAGAAAGGATTCAGCAAAAACTGAGGTTGTGATTCTGGCATTTAATTCTTATGCTAACTTGCCACTCCATCACATGCATTTTTATATTTATTTCAGTTTTTTTTTTCAGACTATTTTGAGTTGCTCTTCAGACAGTGCATACACCGCTTTTGCAAAACAAGATATAGGTAACTGGAATGCAGTGGCCAGACCAATGGATTCAGGGACATGAACGGAATTAAAGCTGAGACTAGATAGAGGTTCCTCCCTCACAGCACTGAGCATCCTTGGCCACGTCATGTTTTCAGGAGTTTTGTTTTCTGTGTTCTCTTCAAGAAATAACTGGAAGCCTGTTCAAACAGTGGTTTGTGAGGACCCATTGAGAATTTAAGGCAGTGGGGGATGGACTAGGTGGGGTTGGGGAGTGGATGAGGTGGTGTGAGAAGGTTGGTCAACACTTTGTGATGATTATGGTCTTGGTCATTCTCATAGAAGATGACATATTTGATTTCATGCCACTTTGTCGTTAATTATTTTACATCCACGTGTCTTTATTTCTGTTGCCATATCACTGAACAAAGGGTGCTTCAAAGATTTATTTACACAGTCATCTCATTCCCAGCCACTTAGCCACATGAGAGCAATTATGCAGATGCTAATGCACAAGGCATTTATGAGTTACTAGAAATAATTCTATCAGCAATTTCTCTGTTACATTTGACCTAAGTGGGGCCTGCACCTTTTCCCAGACAAATAGCTAGCTCTACTGCTTCATTTCAAAATTCCATTTCTTCAGGATAAAACAATTTCATAGAACTTTCTATGTAGACACACACACACACACACACACACACTTCTACCAAAGAGAAATTCAATATGTGCTTCAAGGAATGGTAGTTTTCGGACACAAGTTTACTTTGATCAGGGTATGAACACAAGATGAAGAAATAGATCAAGACTGAGCTGGATACTAAGGCCATTATCCCTGGCAAGACTCAGGCTAGTAGAGGAGATGGGACATCTAGGTCAAGATCTAGTAAACAAGTAAGTCTAAAACCAATAGAAAGTTGTGGAAAGTAGCAAGTAGAGCCTGAACTTACTATAGGAAACTGGCATTTTTTTTAAATGCAGATTCCTTATCTAAACCACAATAAGATGCCTCCTCATACCTGTGAGAATACCAGAAAGAATCAGTGTTGGAGTGGATGTGGAGGAAAAGGAACCCTCATACGCTGTAGGTGGAAAAGGAAAACCTCCATATCGGAAAATTATATGCAGGGGCTTCAAAACATTAAAAATAGATCTACCATATGATCCAGCAATTCCTCTCCCAGGCACCTACTCAAAGAATACAAAATACTACTTCAAAGTGTTATACACTCTCCTATGTTCGTTTCAGTACTATGTCTAATAGCCAGGTTATGGAAACAGCCTAAGTGCCCAAGGGCAGATGAGTGGATTAAGGAGATGTGGTCTATATACACATTACTTGGCTATAAAAAAGATGAATTCTTGCCATTTGTGACGTCGACAGAACTGGAGGGGATTATGCTACATGATATAAATCAGAGGGAGAAAGACAAATACTGGATGTTTCTGTTCACATATGGAATGTAACAAACAAAACTAAGGAATAAACAAAACTAAAGCAAAACAATGCCTAGAAATCTCACTGTATATGTGAGGCCATCAGAGGAGGAGGGTAGTGGGTGGTGAGCCCAGGGGACAGGGGTTCAGTGGATTATGGTGGAGGATTATGGGTGCTTAGGTGATGGGTGGGATGTGGTCACATGCATTTGAAGAGGTGTGACCATGAATCTCTGAATGATATACAATGTTGTAAACCAATGTTGTCTCAATTTAAAAATACTGCAACTTAAAATACAGATTCCTGAACCCTACACTAGGACAAATAGTGAATCACATCTGTTGATTTAGAATCTCAATGACTTTGTGAGTTTTTTTTTAATTACCTAAATGTTTCTGATCTGATGTAGTCAATTTAGAGACCCCCCAGAAACTTTAAATACAATAGTTAGAGGCACTCCTAAGTAGATACCAGAAAGAGCCAGGAATACAAAAAT